TGTGGCTAGGTACCCATGCACTCAGCCCAGGAACAGAGTGAGACTGTCTCTAAATATATAAATAAATAAAAGCAGCCTATATGTTTCAGAGAAGATTAAAGTTAATTTTTAATGACCACGTTATTTTCTGGCTGGATATATTATTTTCCTAGGGTAAGTCATCAACAAAAATTTTTTTTACAGGTGGACTGGTTAGAACATCTGGGTTCGCCACAATTGAAAAAATGAAAAAAATAACTAATACTATAAAGCCATCCCTAGGTACGCTTTGGGGATTGGTTCCAGGACGCCCTGAGTATACCAAAATCTGTGCAGACTTGAGTTTCATAGTCGGCCCTGAGGAACCCAGTATATAAAAAGTTGGCCTTCCATATACATGGGTTTCATATCATGAGAACACTGTATTTTTGATCAGCCTTCAACTGAAAAGGTGGACCGATGGATGCAGTTTAGATCCACATTGGAGGGTCCATTTTACATTTAAATATTGAGCTAGATATACGTAAATATTTGAATAAATAAAATAGTTTGCATTTATTGAGCACTCACTGTGTGCTGTAAGGCGGTACTAAATGGTTTGTATACATCACTTGGTTACTCTTTATGACAAGTCTATGGAGGGCTTGTGATAGCCCAGGTATGGACGAGGAGGCTGATGCTGAATCACATGCCTGCATCTCGGAGTGCAGGTATGCTCATTTAGGCTCTCTAGGCACCAGTCTGTCCTTTGGTAAAGTGGAGTTAACACCCTCTCTCAGTTGGGAGGCAAGTGGGACAGGGGACAACAGATCACAAGCATCTAAGATTGTGCTTGATACAGTAGACACCGTATTCAGCCATTCTGCCTTGTAAGTGCCGCCCTTTGAGCAAGAAGACAGCAGAGACTGATTGGCTGGGTATAGGTTAAGGAAGACACATCATAGATATCAGAAGTCATTTCTGACTGAAAGAATACAGACCAAACAGAACAGAAAATCCAGAAATGGTCCTCTCAAAACTAAATATTGATATCAACAGCATATATTTATCTACTCTAAGACACAAAAACTGGATCTCACAGAAGCTTTTTAAAGACATGTTAGTTTTCTCATCATTACAAGGGTAGTTTTCTTTTGCACTAAGGAAAAAAATATGTGCAATAAAAGATAAATTCAGTCCCTATGATATGATATTTTGATGTAAACATTTATAGCCAACAATACTAAAAAAACCCTCCAAAATATTGCCCCCAAAGATTTATATGACATTCTATAAATATAAGAGAATAATTAGCAATTAAGTACTAATATTTATTTTATAGCAATCATGTGCCAGGCACAAGATATATATATATCTTATTTTATCTTGATAACCCTATGAGGTAGAAATTATTATGATCTTCCTGCAGAAAAGTAAAGTGAGGTTGGAAGAAGTTATTGCAACTCCCCAAGATCACAAGTCTGGTGTGTGGCTGTGTAAGATCTGAACTGAAGTAGGCTGGCTCTGGAGCCCATCCTCTGCACCACCATGCTAAACTAACTGCCTATGCTAGAATGCAGAATGAAAAAACCCAGTGCTGGCAAGGCTATGGTGAAATGGCTATTGGTAGGGAGCCACTACTACTACTTATCATTACAATCTTTTTCAATAGTAAAAGTCAATATAGATTAAAATTTTGAACATGTATAGCTTTTGAATCAGCAATTATACCGCAAGGGTATCTGTGCTATAAAAAAATAAAAGCACAGGCTGGGCACAGTGGCTCAAACCTGTAATCCTAGCACTTTGGGAGGCTGAGGCTGGAGGTCCACTTGAGCCAGGAGTTCAAGACCAGCCTGAGCAACATAGTGAGACCTTGTCTCTACATAAAAATAAAATAATTAGCCAGGCATGGTGGCACATGCCTGTAGTCCCAGCAACTCAGGAAGCCGAGGCAGGAGGATTGTTTAAGCCCAGGAATTTGAGGTTGCCGTGAGCTATGATAAATGCCTCTGTATTTTAGCCTGGGCAACAAAGCAAAATCCTGTTTCAAAAAAAAAAAAAAAGCACTAACATCTAGTGATTAATACACATGTGCACCCATACAAACACATGGATGTTTATCTTGGTGCTCTTTTACTGGCAAGATATTGTAGATCATCTGAATATCTGTCAACTGGAAAAAAAAAATTATAATAGGACATATTAAACATGCCATCATATTAAGCAAAAAAAGCATTTTTTTCCTTTTAAATGTATAGAATATATTTTAGAAGGATGTATAATAAGCATCTCAAACTTCACCTACCTGAAACAAACCTCTTAAATTTATACCTCCCTGTGGAGGAACAGCTATTCTTCAACAGACTATAGTAAATGGCATCACCATGCACCCAGTTGCTCAAGCCCCAAATCTATTTCCCCTCAGCTCCCACATTTAATCAATCAAGTTTGACTCAACCTCCAAAACATCAAGAATCTGCTCACTTTCTTCATCTCCAGTATCAACACCTCATCTAAGCCACGTTCAAATCTCACCTGGGTTTCTAGTGTATTGCTTTCACCTTCCCACAATCTAGTCTCTAACCTAGCAGCTGTGGGAGACCAGACTATGCCACCCCCAAAAAGGAAGGGTTGTTGAGCTGTAGGCAGCTAGGAAGAAGCAGATGCAGGAAGCTCTCTGCCCTCTCTTTATTTGCCTAAAAGCAGGACACAGATTTAAAGAGAAAAAAGGTATTCTCACCACCACCACCAGGGAGAACACAGGTTAACCACTGAAGACAACTGTGGACCCTTATCCTCTGGAGATGGTAACAGGGGGATCTATTATACATTAACAAGCTTTACTAACTCGCCTTTATCTGCCAGTTATTTGCCTTCCCCCAAGTTGCCCCGGCCCAGAGACAAAGTCCATTTCTTTCATCTTGTCATTTCTATAAAAATTTACTGTTTTTTGTTGTAGATGCTAACAAACTGGGATTTAAAGTCATCTCTTTGAGAACTACTTATGCCCTGTGTGTAGGATTCCATGTGTATATGAGGAGGATACACGTTGTTGACTGCCGATCGAGCAATCGCCGGCCGTCGGCCACTCGCGCAGAGTGCTAGTCAGTTACAGCGGAGCCACCTCGCAGCCTGAAGATACAGGCATTTAATGAATTACTGTTTGTTTTGGTCTTGTTAACCTGTTTTGTTATAGGAGTCTGTTCTGTTCAATAAGAAGCTATGAGGGGGGCCGGCACCGTGGCTCACGGCCTGTAGGATCCTAGCACTCTGGGGGCCGAAGGCGGGCGAGTAGCTCCGAGGTCGAGGGGAGTGTCAAAGCCAGCCGAGCAGGAGCGGGAGAGCCCTGTGCTCTGGCTATAAATAGAAGATTAATTAAGGTTTGCGGCCAGACTGAATGGGTAGGTATAGAAAAGATATTAGCTGGCCATGATCGTGCATGGCCTGTGGAGTCCAGGAGCTACCTCGGAGCGAGCAGCAGGGTCGCTGGAGCCGAGTTGGGGGGGTGAGGGTTGCTGAAGCTAGCGACGCCACGGCACTCACTAGGCGCTGGACGAAAGAAAGCGACTCGTGTCTCAGAAAAAAAAAGAAGGAAGCTATGAAGTGTGGAAGGAAAAGAAGGAGTTATTCGTTGTGTATTCTCCTAAACAGCCAGTGCATCATTTAAACCGTGTATCAGTGGAATCTCTTTTCACTGGTTTAAAAGCTTCTAAGTCGGCTTCCAAGTGCATCACGAGTAAAACCCAAACTGTTACTCTGACTTGCAGGAGCCTCTGCTCGTACTACAAAGTCACCAATCTCCGCGTCGCGTACTATGCTCCAGCACGCAGTCCTCAGGACGCTCTCGCCAGAGTATGGAGGAGAGCTATGCCGTGCCCCGCGCCTCAGCAGGAGGAGGGAAGGCTCCGTCCACCTACTGTTGCAAAACGTCTGTCGTTCTCAGAGTGTCGATGTTTGCGTGTTGGTGGTTAAGATGTTCGAGCCGTGTGATCCAGAAGGCCTGTCACCTGATGGAATGACCAAGATAATGCGAGGTGCACAGTTCGTGGTCTAATGCTCTGCAGAGGGTGTGACCACGTATGTATTGCTGCTTGTGTTATGTTATTCTTAATTTGTTATCTTTCTTCTCATGTAGAATGTAAGCTGAACCATGCAGGAGCATGGTATCTGGTGGTTGTAATGTCGCACCTGTATCGCTTCTAGATGGCGCGCGCGGAGAAGGCGCGCCTGAGACGATAAAGACGGATGAGTCAGGTTGACACTGGCTGGAGTGAATAAAAGGAACGTGCATTGTATAATCAAATTTTTATTAAAAGGGACACTATAAATAGCTACTTATTTTTGTTGTAAAAGTAAACAGTACATAGAAAGATACTAAATAGTAAACATCAACTTCCTAGGGAGGCAGGGAAATAAAAATTAAGTTTTCCTTTAATAACTCCACATTATGCAATTAGTAACAATAAGTATGTATTTCTTTTTTGGAATTAAAAGATAATTCAATAAATAAAAACTGTGAAGGGAAGGAATATTCCCTTGGCTGGGGAGGCAAACAGATTACACAGCTTTATAACCATCTATCTACCCTGAAGCAGACCAATATTATAGCAGTCTTCTTGTACTAGTAATTTCTCCATGAATAGATTAAAGTAATTATTTAAAGATAGCTGTGATAAGAGCTATTAAAGCACTTTGAAAACATAAGGAAAGGGGTACAATTCAGACATAAAAAAGGAATTTCCTAGTAAATTCTGAAATGCCTAATTAGGACAAAATTATATAGAGAGAGGAAACCTTAAGCAACTTTAAGGAAGGTAATGCTTACATGGTTAAGTTCTAATATATTTGCTTAACATTGTTTTACATTGCTTTATAATCATACCTCAGATACTTCCTGTTTTAGTGAGGGAAATTCCCTCATTAATAAATTCTAGGAGTTTAAGAATACCAAATACTGAAAAATCAAAAATGTCAGATTTGGGGAAAACGATCATGACAAATCCATCTAATTCACTGAGAGCTAATTAGGCACACCTTACCTCAACAGGAGATGGAGAACTTGATGGCAACGGGAATGGTGCAACGGCCATCTGATTGACTGCATCTTCGTTTCTGTGAAATGTTACAAAAGGCAGAATGAGTACACAGTAAATGCTACGTTGATGGCTCAGATGATAAATACCGACTTAGTTCTCAGCTGAAAGTGCACACATAGCATCATAGAATTAAATACATGCATGCACACGCACACACCTTCCAAGCATGCAAAAGCTATTAGGCACAAAAAGAGATATATTACTCAAGGGACACTAAGATATAATTACTAGTGACAAAGAATGATGATGCTAGGAGTTAGTCAAATCCCACTTAGTAATTCAGGTACTGCAGAGGATAATTCTGGAAATGCATCAACTTTCTCAGCACTGTGGAGTATAAATTTTTCAAATGGGCATGTGCAAACCTAACCTCTAGGCCCCATTAATGTCTAGAGTGTTTTGTTCTTTGAACTGGAAAGGTTCCCAGCCTCCTCACTTGGCTTCTAACTTTGTTTTGCCAAATGAAGGCTGACAGGGTGTCTGCCACAGGCCCTGCAGTGTGGGTGGAGAAGTGGCGATGGATGAGGAGAGCGGAGCTCCAGACAGACAGTGCTTCGTGGCTGAGGCGCATTCTCCTCCTCCTCATCCCAACGGAGTGGAAGAGGTGGGAGCTGACACCTCGTCACCAGGGTGGCAGGCACACAACTCCCACAACACTGGTTCTGACTATTCGGGCCTGTCTCTACCACATTACTAGCAGATGGTAGGCAGTGGTCTGTGGGAGATAATGACTACCCTTTACTATTCATTCTGGATGCATGGCCAACACAATTATCTCACGGTTTATGTGAAGCGTGACTTTGTGCTTCACGATATAAACCGAGGAAGCTCACAAAAATGCTTCTTGCTGATATGTAAAGGTCTAAGACTGCTCACAGATCTCTCTCCACGTGACCCGTGTGTATGGAAGAGGCACTGCTGACTTGGGAGGCCTCTCAAAGTTCAACCCCATTGGACATTCTATTTCTCACCAATTGGATAACAAGTCCATTGGTCCATGTCATTTCTGCTTTGGTGCGTTAGTCATATCACTGCTTTTACTTGAAATGTCTCTCTTTATTCAATTTATGCCTCACCCATCCTTCTCTAGAGTGAATTCAGTAACCTCAACTGGGTGAATTATTCCATTAAACTCAAAGACTATCTATACATTGATGTCTTCCAAATTCACATATTTAGCCCAGATATTCTTCTGAGCTTGGATATACATATCCAACTCCTAATTTATATTCCTACTAGATGTCTCATAAGCCATCTCAAATACAATAGAGCTTTTTCTCCCACTCAGTCCCTAGATGATTCCATAGCCAATTCTCCCCACCTGTGTAAACGTCAACAATATCTGCCCAGTTGTTCAACCAAGAACCAGGAGTCTTTCTCGAAACCTTTCATCTCTCACCTGTACTTCCAACCCACCAAGTTGTGTTCATTCTACCTTCAAAACATACCCTGAATCTTTCCACTTTTTTCCATCCTATTCTATTTATAAGCCATCATCATTTCTCACCTGAAAAGAGCATCCTATTTGGTTTCCCCTCTTACATCCTCTCTCTAATCCATTCTTCACCCAGCGGAGTTATGATGATCCTAACACATAAATCTCATTATATTTCTATCTCCTGCTTAAAATCTTCCTATGGCTTATTAAGGTACTTAGGGTCAAGTCCACAATGGATGGATAAGGAGGTGATAAGGTCCCAGCCCCCATCTCTGGCCCCCTCTGCTCTCATCCCCTGGCTCACTCTGCCCCAGGCCAGCTGCACAGCTTTCTTTCCATTTTTCAACTAAGCCAAGGTCCACCCACCTTCTCTCACCCTATTCTCTTCTGCTCTGCCTGCCTGTCATCCAAGTCCTTTGTCTGATTTACACTTATTTTTCTTTCATAGTTAACATAAATGTCATTTCCTGAAACAAGCCTTCAATGACCTCCAGGATATTCTTATAGCACCCTCCACAATGATCGTGTTTATAGCTCTGTTTCTTTCATATTTTACCTAACTGATTTGTGTGAACATGTGCTTCTAATCTTTCTCTCTAGAGGGTAAGCACTCCAAGGACAAGACCCATGTCCTTCCTACTCTCTGTTACACTATCTAGGGGTAACACAGTGCCTGAAAAATGCTTGTGCTTAACATAGTTAATGGGAAAAAAATGAATAAATGGGAGTGGGATGTAATGACCACTCTCTTCAATAAGGAGATAGAAATGTAGGAGTTTCACTAACTGTGGGGCTTTGGGGGAAATTTCTTCTCAGAGCCTCAGTTTCTTGATCATGTAAGCAAGAAGGTTAACTGTAAGAATCCCAAACTGTTGTCAATTCTTTGTGGAATGAAGCAGAACATAGATGAAGTCTATGTACCATTTCTTACTCTACCCTTCTTGGACTCTTGGACTATCTAGTACACAAGCTAAACCAAAGCAAACTGGAGAAAACTAAAACTATAAAGTGACATAGAGCATGAAGAATATATCTATTTTTTTCTGCAGCATTACAGATGGCTTGAGCATGCACTATTATGTTAAGAGATAATTACTGTTTTTCAGGGAGTACAATCCATTCCTCAGCAGTTTGCTCACACACAGAAAAAGTAATCAGTCACCCTGGGTAAGTAATAGCATTTCCCCAGTGGTAATTCCTTTTCCCATTCAGTTTCTCCCATCGAACAGCACAATAGAGCTCAGTTCAGCTTAGGGCGGAAAGCCAACAGGACACGTCTGCTCCAGATTTGGAACTCATAGGGCAGAGTGGATTTGGCAGTAACTAAGTAGATGGCTTTTCATATCTCTTTCAAAGGGTACCAGCATTGAAAATATGGCTGCATCTAAATTCTTATTGAGAGATCATGATTAACTGGACCAAATTAGCTCAAATCAGTCAAGTTATCCCTTCACAATTTAAAGATTTCCCCAAATTAGTATGATTTTAATGGCCTTTAAAGTCCATATTAATTTTTTTGAACCTCACATAATAGAAAACCTATAATTACTCTCAATGAAAAGAAGACAGTTGCTGCAAGAAGTTACAGTTCGTAATCCTTTATAATCCACTTAATAGTGACTTTCACACACCTCAGCATCGAGTCTCATAGAGCTGACACAGCAGCAAATTTAAAACCAAAAGTAGAAAGAGAGAAAACCAAAGGAGAGGAGGCATTTACACTTCAAACAAGCAGTTAGCCTGGATGACATCTGGGGAGCTTTGATCCCTCATATCCTCTGAAATCTGTTTGCTTTATATTAATCATTAACCTTTCCTTTCCACATAATTAACACATATTTTGTTTTCTTTTTTTAGAGATGGGGTCTTCCTCTGTTGCCCAGGCTGGCCTCCATCTCCTGGGCTCAAGCGATCCTCCCGAGTAGCTAGGACTACAGGCGCTCGCCACCACGCCTGGCTAATGAACAATAAGCTTCTTAGGCTCCAGTGCCCCATATGGGACACAATAAAAAATTTTTATTGTTTATTGGTGTTTTTATAATTATCTTTGAGAGCTGTTGGGAGAGAGATAATGGAGTCCTACCACGGATAACAGTGAGAACCTTTATCCAGGGCATAGGACCCTGTGTGTGTATGTCCTTTTTGCTGTACGTGCCATGCTCAAGTATTAATGAAATCATTTGTGCTGGTCTTTCTCCCTCCCCAAGCACAGGGATGGGATCTTATCTCTTCATATCCCCAGCTTAAAGCAGGGTGCCTGGCAGAGAGCAGGTGTACTATAAATGTCTGTTGAATGAAAGTGATCTTAAAAAGGCAGGAAAAAGCAAGCAGAACTAGCAAACTGTGCCCCTTGCTTTCTGAGCAGCTTCAACCAGTTAATGGCAATGTGCTCCCTCTAGCCAACCAGCTCTCAGTATTTACCACATGTAAGGGACATTTCTTGGGGTGGCCTGGCTCACAGTGATTCCCTGAGTGGGCCATAATGCCTGCACTAGGTAACTAACAGCTCTGCCTCAACTTGACTGGGTGTAGAGGGCAGACACCCATTCAGTGGGGGCCACTCAAATTCTCTCTCCCGGGGACTCGAAATTTAGAACAGACATATAAAGATCGGGAGTGCACTGTCAAGACACAACGAATGGAACTGTTCAAGGCTAAACAGGGGACCCGAACTGCTTTCTGCTGACATCTCTAGAGTTGCCTGGTTCCTTCTCTTCTGAGTCTTAGCTGTATGGCTCTTCTCTAAAGAATCCATCAGACATTTCTCTATTCCTTTTTTTTTTTTTTTTTGAGACAGGGTCTCTCTTGCTCTATCACTCAGGCTGGAGTACGATGGTGAGACCATAGACCACAGCAACCTCAAACTCCTAGGCTCAAGTGATCCTCTTGCCTCAGCCTCCAAGTAGCGGGGACTACAGGCATGCACCGCCACACCCAGATAATTTTTTCTCTTTCTTGCTATGTTGCTTAGGCTGGTCTTGAACTCTCAAGCTCGAGTGATTCTCCCACCTTGGCCTCCCAAAGCACTGGGATTAGAGGTGTGAGCCACCAAACCTGGCTTATATTCTTTTCGTTTGTTTGTTTTTGATATGTTGTATCTGTATATATTTATGGGGTAAATGGGAAATTTTGCTACATGAATAGAACGTGTAATGATCAAGTCAACGTATTTAGGATATCTATGACCCAAGTATTTATCATTTCTATGCCCTGGGTACCTTTCAAGTCCTTTCTTCTAGCTATTTTGAAATACCTAATAATACATTATTGTTAACTATAGTCACCCTACTCTGCTATCAAACATTATTCCTTCTATCTAACTGTATGTTTGTACCTATCAACCAACCTCTCTTCATTCCCCCCACCCCTAAACACCCTTCCCAGCCTCTGGTATCCCTAGCATCACTCTCTACCCTTCATGTGATCAAATTTTTTAGCTCCCACAAATGAGTGAGAACATGAAATATTCATCTTTCTGTGCCTGGCTTATTTCACTTAACATAATGATCTCCAGTTCCATTCACGTTCCTGAAAATAACATGATTTCATTCTTTTTTATGGCCAAATAGTATTCCACT